TGTTTAGTTGGTTAAGCTTTAATGGATTTTTCTTTTGTTGCTTTTGTTTTTGTTTATAATATGTAAATGTCTGGTTAAATGTTTTTTTTTTGGTTTATTTATTAAATCTGCTTGGCCGTTTATTTTTTAACAACCTTTAAATTTTAACAGGTTTGAATCAGAATTGCGCCTTAAGTCCCAAAAGAAATAAAAGGTGGATTTCAGTCACCAGAAATCAGAAAGTAAACCGGAGGTATTCACGCATTCGGTGCGTGCAGTGTTGCCAATTTAACGTTTATAAAATTACGTTTTTTTCGTAATCTACATCAGAAAAAAATTTTGTATTATTTTTTTGGGACTCCCGAAACCCCCGTACATAAACGTACTGAAGAGTTAATCCGCGATTTTCCAGACACCCGTTATGTCAAATTTGATCAAGCCCTATTATTAAACCAGTAATACCACCTCACAAAACAATGCTCTAAGAGTCTGTTATACAACGATATGGAAAAAAAATTAAAAAATATACTTATGTTGTAAGGTTCATAATTATTACACGAATTCGAGTTTGTAAACGGACCCGTTTGCGGCGGGTTTTTGCAAAGAACGAATGTGACAGTGACCTTATAAAACGAGTTTTTTATATTATTTATATCTCTGTTGAGGAAGTTTAACGTCATTTTAAAAAATCATCAAAGTAAATTTAGGTAACCATAGTTGGCAGTCATGCAACTTACTGTCGAATGTTGTCACACCCAGTTCCCACAAATGAAAAAATTATTTACAGATTAGCTTTCCTTTTTTTCAGATAATCAAATTATAAAAAAAACAATTTTAAGCTGCGTTCCTTTCGCCACCCAATTAAATAAGCTCCGACAAGTAAGATATTTAAAAAATTGTTCCACCAACTCGCAAGACAAATATATTAAAACCACAAAATTTAAAACATTGTTTTCAGCTGAAAACGATGCCTTAATTAACATAGCTCTTAACCCTCTTGTAGAAAATATTATATTCAAAAACATGTTTTGTTAAGTCCATTATTACCTATCACACGAGGACAAGTTTGTAAAACGACTCGCTTGCGGCGAATGTAATAATGGCCTTAGATTATTTTTTCTAATGAGGAAATTTAAAGCAATCAAAATAAATTCAGTTATTTTGACAACCTTAGTTAGCAGCTATGCAGCAAATAAAAACATTGTTCACAAATTAGCTTTCCGTCTTCCTTCCGAGCGTAAGCTAGGGAAGTATTGTAATCGGATCCTTCGAGCGACTGGATACTTTCATGTTTTATCTGTTTCGATTTTTATTACACACATAATCTCCGAAACTACTAGGAATATCGTATAAATGGTACACAAAATTTGGCTAATCATTCCTGCCAACAACAGGATGATGTCATCTCCAAAAGAGCCCATAATAAATCTTATTTAAATTTCGAATTACTCATGTCATATTAATAACGGCACAAGTTTCTTGAACACGTCAGTTTAATTCAACGCTTGCATTTTGCCAATGGTCAGTGACCCATTTGTGTCTCGTTGCATGTTAACCCTTCAGCTCCATGCATTATACATACGATGTACATAAATAGAGAGTTAGTCTTTCCATTACTGTCGAGAAATAAACACGAAAACCTATCTGAAAACGAAGTTTATGAAGAACTGGGAAGATCCAAAGACACGTTTCAATACCTAACTTTATCTTGAATGATTGTGCGTCCAATTTTGCAAACATCTGAAAAAAAGCAATTATAACACCAGTTTTAAAAAAATACTAACCCGACAAGTATTAACAGTTACAAGCTAATAAGTATACTCTGCAAAATATTTGAATCTATTCTATTGAAAAGAATTATTAAATTAATTAGTAGTACCTGGTAAGATAAGAATGATTTTGGCAAATGACGTACCCTCTAAGAAATTTAATTGCATTATTATAACTAGACGCTCCATAGCACTTTCAAATTCTTTCTAAACAGGATTATGTACCTAGAACCTCAAGATTGTTTTAAATTTTTCAAAAAAAAACAGGGTCCCAAAATTAACTCAAAAAAAGGTGAGGTCAGAATTAATAATTAATAATAATTAAACATCTCATTACACCATTTCAACACGCATTCACATTAAAGGTTCTTCCACCTCTAATTTACTTACCCCAATTTTTGTCAATACGCTTTGGACACCATAGATCACAAAAACCAAGTTGATGTAATTTACATTGACTTCAGTGCCGCTTTTGATCACATTATTTATTTATTCTTTTTGTATAGAGTTATTTAGATTTTCAAAACCTCTTCTTCCTTTTGCTGTTAGAGTCTTATTTTATTGAAAGAGAACGTTCGGTTGAGTATTGCAATTTCATGTTTAAAACTTTTTTCTTCATCTTGGCATACCCCAAAGGTAGAAACTGGGACCACTACTTTTTGTAATATTCGTTAATGACATTATGGACAATATTTCTACTGTCCATTGCTTATAATTCTAATAAAAAATTAAAAAAGGTAAACGAGTTGAACTTTATTAAAAAGAAAAACTAGTAGATGAAAAATTAAACTTTTATTCAAATGGACAAAGCTCAGGAAAATGCCGTACAAAAGAAGGAGAAGCAATAAAATAAAGAAGACCATAAAAAAGAACTTCAATGACGAAATGCGCATTAAATATTAATTTCAAAACTGGTACCTATAAATTAAAAATTTGAAAAAAAAAATAGTTTTATGAACATTAAATTCTTTTGAGGTTGCACAGTAACAAAATCAGAGTGTGTAATAAAATTTGATTTCAATGTCGACTTCAGAAAAAGGTCGTCATCCACCATTGTTTTTTAAGTGTTGTATTCAATTTGTGAACAATGACATTATTTTTATCAAAAAATATTCTCTAGGTGAAATAATAATTTAGTGTATCAGGTTAAACAGCATCGTGTCGAGGTTTGCAATATTTTTCGCTATTATATCGCTTTAAACTGTTTTATGTATGTAGTACACAAGTGCAATTGAAGACGAAATTTTGAAAGGATAATATCAATTAATTAATTTGATTTATGAACGAAAATTGTTATTTTAACGAGAACATAAAATTCAAATTGATTTATTGAATGATGCCCCCAAAATAAATTTATGATACTTTTAACTGCTCCATACAGATTTATATTTGAAAATCATCTGTAATTCGTCACTTGCTTATTTGAAAATGTGTCTGATAACACAACAAGCAATTTAACAGCACTCTAATATTAATAGAAGTGCGGAAATTTAAAACTAAAAAGACTGCGATGAGTAAAGTCACCAAAGTGGCCTTATTTCTGATGTTTTCTGATATCTGTGAAAATATATTATCGATGTTTTATAAAAGAAATAAAATAACCGAAAATGAACTGGTGTTAATGATAAAAATAAGTTTCAGTTTTACATCGTAAACTAAGAAAGTATTGCGACAGGTAAAACCAAAATTTGTCTATTATGCCAATAATGTGATGACGTTAACTCAAAATTTTGCATAGTAAGTGTAATTTAAATTTTATAACAAAACATAGGTACTTCTACACTTATGGTTTATGAATCTATTTTGATTTTTTACCCTAGACATCCAGACTTTTGGAAAAAAGTCAAAGTTGTATAAAAACATTTTACAATTTAATTTTGAAATTGCAAACCTTTTTCACATGTTGTAGATATATTTATAGTTATTTCACACAGATATCATGTATCTAAATGTCACACTAATGTACCGTGAAGTTATAGATACCCTCCTAATGTTCAAGCATTTAGTGTTTTGTTTGCATATTTAAAAAAAACATTTGTGACTTCCGTATTTTTATGTTACTTTATTGTTAAAACATTTTTTTAATGTTTGTCGCTTTGTGTTTTCTTGATGTTTTCCTGCTCGTCGAATACAAAAATGCAGGTATGTCTGGAAAATGTATACTTCTATACATTGTTAAAGGCTGACCAAAATTGTCTGTTCGGTCCTCCAAAGAAAGAGGGGCTTTCAATAATTTTCTCAGTTATTAATAACTTATATAAATTTAATGACGTATTTTATTATGGCTTTTTTTTGCTATTGTTACAATCATAAATGACAGCTGTAATAATTCCGGTATCTAGTCCAAATATTCACAAAATGGGTATTCAACATGAACAAAACAATCTCTTCAACAGCTGTAGCAGCTGGGAATAAGCACACAATGCAATTAGGTAACAAATCACCGCAAATCACCAAACTTAGTGCTCAAGTTCAAAGAAAAAGAATGTAAATTACTGGAAATGATGTCCCCATTCCAGTTTCCTGTAAATTTTGAATTGCTGTATTTAAACACAGTGACCCACTTAACCAATGAGCAATGAATCAGTTAAACTCTTGCAAAATTAAAGAAGGTTGAGTGTAAATCATTTCCTCAGCCTCTATTAATTAAGTATTTTCAATAAAATATAATAAAACATGTCTCCACTTTTGCACATTTATTTTGGGAAAGTTGTATACTGAGCTCGTTTTACTGGATAAGGACGTAAAATTTAACGCGTGATGGTAAACGCTTAGATAGCAATCTTAAAGACTCCGCGAGTTATGAAACCAAAAATTGACCTAGAAAACGGTACTCAAGGAAGAGCATTTTATTAAGACTTTGACGATGTAAATAAGTGCTAATAAATATAATAATTAATAAAATGTGTAATAACTCGAGTCAATAATTATATAGCAGGTGAGCCCGCGGCTAAATAACAGTACCTGATACCCACTGCAAGTACCGTAGAACCAATGCAGAGGCGTAGAACTGGGGCAAACATCTTGACGAATTATCTACGAAATTCACTTGCTTTTCCTTTATTGTAGCAAACAAATAGAATCGGTATCTTTCATTTAGAACAGCACGACTTACGAAAGAATTCCTTTTCGAGGCACTTCCAAGAATTCCTCGGAATTGGCCCACCCGGATAAAAATGAATCACGAAGAGCAGGGTGTGTGTTCCGGTACCACTTTCTTCATTTCTTCTTCTACGTCACTGCATTTACCGGCTAGCAGAGTAAAGAACTCGTTGCAGTAAAAAGCTTGCTCATTCGGATAGTTTTCGTTCTCGGTGAAGTTCTTGATCGATTAGTGAACGTTACTTGACACTTCCTTGTCACAAGTCTGTTTCGTTATTGCCGTTAGTTAGAGAGTTTGTTGCGGTGAAATTAGTAGGTCTTACGATATGTAAGTTTCTTTGCAAATTTACTTGTCAGCTACTTTTGTATTTGTTTATTTGCTTTGAAATGAATCCATTTAGTGGTGTAGTGAACTAAGCAATTTATGGGCTTGTGAAAATTATGACTTTATTTTCGCTTTCTTTTGTGTGATCTGAGGTCGAGGCTAGCAATTAGGTAAGTTGAAAAAATTGAATTTTTGTCAATGTTCTTTGCTGGATTTATAAAATATTTCTCTAAAAGGCCTAAGCACTACTAATTTTAAGTAACAAAATGATTTACTGAAATGTGTGGTATTATTTTATTATTGCTTATTTAAACTGCACGCAACTGGTTTTTCTTAATCCCTTTTTGAACAGTTTGTAAAAAACTTATAAATAAACTGAGGTAGAAGTTTTAAAATTCACAGTTTGGTAAAAGACTTTTAGTATAAGAGAAACAATTCCAAAATCAATAAGATATTTCAAGCAAAAATTGATATCCTAAACTCCTGACGGTTAAGAACATTCACGCATACCAAATAAGTTTCTTATACATATCATGAAATATGGTGTTTGTTTGTAATTTAATGTTAATATTTTATACTTAATAATGAATAATTAACATTATTTAATATTTAATATTAATATAATGAAAGGAAAACAGTTCCAATCCCCATTTGAAAATTTATGCTTCATTAATTTCATTACACATATATTTTATGACAATGTAACTTTTTTGGTTTGATTATAAGTCCTGTGACAATTTAAAAAGTAAAATTATTTTCATATGCGCAAATACTTTTATGTGACTTAGATTTAAAATGCAATTTCTAAGTATAACTATTTTTGAATCAACAAGTTCCACACTATTAACAACCCATAATCAGACTCGTGCAATTAAAATCAAGTTTCTATTACGTCACAACATTAGTTATTTAATTTGTTTCAATTTAAAAAAATAATAGTGGAAGCTAGTCCTTTTCAATGAAATATTTTAATCAGAAAGGTAAAATATGAGCAAGAAGTTCTGCTAAAAATTGAAGAAATTTAATCAGTGAACAATGAAGCTTCTAATTTTTGTTCTAAGAGTTTTGTTGCGCTGTATTGTTGTTTTAAATGCTAGGTACTTTGAACTGTATTTATTTTATCGTCACTCTAGAGGTTTTAGAGTATAAATTCGTATTACATTGTAGTTAATGTTGAAACCAATAATTGTATAGCCTTTTAAATTAACGTAAATTGTTGTCTCTTATCAAAAATAGTAAAGTACATTGCCAGCAACTGTTATACGTTTATCCAAGGATGACGGATATTTTTTTTTGTGGCATGTTTTAAATGGTTTACATTTTTGTAACCTTAACTAAATAAAATCTTTGCCCATTACTTTAATTTTTATAAAAACAAACACAGAGTGATGGAAAAATGACGTTTATGCTCGATGGTACGTTGTCAAGAAGGCTCTGAACAACTCGAAAAAATGGAAAAAAATGTCTGGACTAAATTTTTTTAAATATTAAACTTCAGAATTGAAGAATTAACTTCATAAATCAGATATTTTTTAATCCAAATCTAAACTCGATTAAAATAAAAAATGACATCTGTCAACAGAAAAAATGACGTTATAGATCGCTTTCTATCAAAATACAGTTCATTAAAATAAATCAGAATTATGAAATTAATTCTTCTTAATGTTTTCAAAAGTTTGCTGGAAGGATTTTTTTTGAATTCTTCAGACACTGTTTATTGATATGTCATCAGAATCAAATGGTTTTATGACAACTCTTCTTCTTGTATTTTGTTAAATCTCTTTCACGTGTGTTTTATTTAATTCATTTCGTATTTTTGAGTGCACTATATATACGTCTATAAATTTCAAACAACAGAAAAATAAACATAATTATGTATAATTTTAAACAAGTTTATAACAACAACAGCAATAAATTGTCACCAAAAATACCTGATTCTCACATATAAAACGACTTTATTGACAGGAATTTTAAGTGTGATTAACAAAAAGAATATAACGATACGTCAGCTTCACATATTAAATTACGTTTTTTTTTCAAGTAATTTCAATTTGTATGTTTTAAGTTCTAGAAAGAAAAAACTTGAAAAGATACTGATAATGTATACAATAAATATAAAAACACAAAAAGATATTACTCTTGTCCAACAAAATATTTACAAAGAGTTTTATGTAAACAAGCATGTTATCCGAGTGGACATTAAAAATTTTGGAACGAAATTGTGTTCTTTTTACAAAATTATTTAATCCGTCTTCTCGTAACTTTAACAGTATAATTTGAAAATTTGTGTTATGATAAAATAAATTTAATAATCAAAATGTGACTCATTAAATTACAAATATTAAGCTAAAAATGTCAATTGAGAAATGTGATTTATGCTATACTTGGTTCACATATTTGTATTTTTTTAGTAGTGTGATTGTGACTTTTCTTTTTCTTTTCCTGTGACGTAGCCACAACATTTTTCGTCATCTAAACATCAAGATAAAAAATCCCTAACGAATAACGCACAGGCATACAAAGTTATCCTAAATTTGACAGGTTATTGCAAAGTGAACCCAGATTATGCATTAATAATAAAATTTATTCAACCTAAAAGTTTTCGTTGTTTGAAAAGTCTATTATGTCCGTACTAATCTACAGTACCTACTTGTAATTTTAAATATATTTTTCATTATCTACTGTAAAAACTAACAAATCGGTGTCACTGACGTAAATGTCAACAATATTTAACATATTATTAAACAGTAGCAAAAAAAACTAAAGAAAAAACAATAGTTAAACAGGTTATGTTTTTGTTTTACCTTCATTACAGCATATATGTACAACCACACAAGATTTTTTTCACGCCAAACATAAGGTTAGTGCTTATGATGTAGCGAAAAAAAATATATATATACACCTATGTATTACATATGTACCTGTATACAGTATGTCTCGTCCTCTAGTTGGCGATGCTTGTTTTTCTCATGCTTATATTGAGCACCAGACGACGAGAAAAACAGGTTGCTCATCCAGTGCCAACCTGAAGACGTCTTTTGCTGATCCCACCTTACATCAGGAAAAATGTGCTATTTCTGAGAAAACTGTTACAATAAATTGTTGACACAATAAAAACAATAATAAAATAAAGTGATATAAGCAATAAAGATGTTTTCAATTTTTTTGAGATGATGTCATTTTTTAACTTAAATAATAATCAGTGTGATGTAATCTTTCGTTAAACGTATGATTTAATAATAAGGTTATTAATCAACTGGACATGAAATACTTCCTTTCATTGTTTTTGTAATGTCATAAAAAATATAAATACCGAGTTACCATTAATGTTGTGACTTTTTTTGTCAACTTGGCAACATATTTAAAATTTTATTATGGCATACCTGATGTAAAATTGAAATTTTGGGCGCCAATTCAGTAGAAATCTCCTCATTGGTTTTTGGCGCTCATTGATAACTGTGAATTGCCAACTCAAAAATTTGCTTCACACGATATTTAAGCCACACAATTTTGCAAAGAACACAATTAATATTAAAGTCATAAACTAGTTTTATTTTTATTCAATGAAAATTCACGTTTTAATAAAATATTAAATTCAATATACGGAAGAATTCTCGTTACATAAGTAGTACTATGATTATTTATACCTATGATATAAATTTACAATTTGGTGAAACTTTTCCTCGATTTATACACCTAACGTTCATGTATAATTTACAACACTTACTGTAAAAGTCGTGTGTTTTTTTTTTAAATGGAATATCTATGTACGTGTAAATGAAACAAAATGTAAATTTTGTAAGAATAAATATACATATAAAGGAAAACCTGCGCTTTCGCAGTCTGCATCTATAAAACATGCCAAGAGCGGACATCAATGGTCAAAATTACTATGCACTTTAATATTAATTCGTTATTAAGTCAGTAGTCAATGTGACGCTGAGACCACTTAGCGGTGTTGACACATCGCCGTTGTTTTTTTGACCAACAAAAATTTGTACCATTTCGCTAATGACATATTCGGTGTTCTTAACTTAGCGTGCCCCAAAGAACCAGTAAACTACATATTCACGAAGACACCGTGGTAATGTAGCGGTACTCTCGTGACCAAATCGACGATATATGTCGCGAGGAGTTGTCACAGGTACTATTCACAACTCTACACATTTGCATAGACTATTCAACAGTCCCGTTAAGCATCTCTTGGTGAATTAAAAAAGTACATTCTTGCACTCATTTTTTTTTATTTTGATATGTAACACCGTTTTGTGGACACTCAATAAATTATCAATATGCTTTTAACTGTGGCGAGGAGTGTGTGGTATTTGTTTTTTGGGCCGAAATGTAATTATCATATATCATTTAATTGATACTAGTGCTAATTTAGGTTATAATTTACGTAGTAGACCGAATTACCGAAAAAAAAAATGTCGTAAAAACTACTATCAAAACTGACCACGAATTCACCGTTTCGGTTGATTCGAAAAATACAAACGTAAAAAAAGTTTTATAACGCACTAGTTACTGTGTCTAAAGTCGTACCAATAACTTTTCTCCATAAACCTGATGCTCTTTAACCAAAGACTAGATTGTCGCTTTACACTTTCATCGTATTCTAATACAAGTTTAACGGTGTTTTATTAATAAATCCTTCATTTGCATCTTTTGCCATTTTCTAAAGGATCAAAAGAGTAGTGTCAGTGGAGTAGGTTAATCTACGCTACATTTACCATTTGATAACAATAGCTAAAGCTATGCAGATCTGTAGAGATTGATCATTTGTTCTCAATGAATAATTTAAGAAACAATGATCGCTCCCAAAACTTCACTTTGCTTTCACCAAATCGCATTGTAGACTGCAATTTGGATTAATAGTGGCTTCCCATGAGTTGCAAAAATAAAAACAAAGTGGAGACAGTGCAACTGCTTCCAGTGCGGTTACTTTTACAATTACAGTTATTTTGGGTTCACTTTACGTTGTACTGACAATGTCGTGAACGTAAGTGTAGGTAAATGAGCACGAAACTGGTGATTCTTTGTAATTTTTATTTGTATCACACATAACTGTACAGAGCATTCGCAGTGTTACAATAATTATATAGGATTTTTAATAATCCGTTAAAGTGGTAACAGTACCGGGATTCTAGCAGCTCCTGTATTATTCAATTAA